AAGAAATAGACTCATTTCTTTTATAGTGAGGGAAATTAAAAGCTATCCTATAGCTGATATCTACTTTGTACATTTAATGTCTTTTCTAGAAGAGACTGTGTTAATCCCCTTTTAGGGAGACCCTAGACATGAGCCATACTTAAGCCTTATTCATGAGAGTTTCCTCAGAATCTTAGAGTGAGGGGCAATATGACAGAAGAGAGTTTGAGAAAAGCCTGATGTCCCTGTATTTGGGGTCTAGCCCAGGCCCAGGTCCAGGACTAATTTGGGTCCACTTGTGCTTAAAGTTGGTACCCCTTTTCTAGGGGAGGAGGGGTAGAAAGGGAGTCTGTGCTGCAGGTGACATGCTGAAAAAAAGATAGGGTGAAATAATAGCTACCTTTGAATATCTGAAGAGTTTGGCCAAAAAAGGACTGAATTGGTAGCAAATGACTGAATGAAAAGCATTTATTAAGTATTTACTATTGGCCAAGCACTGTACTAAACATTGGAGAAAGAAATACTAAAGCAAGATAGTCCCTACCTTCAAGAAGTTTACATTCTAATGAAGGAACCAACACAATGGCTGAAGAAAGGAATAATCATCAGGGAAATCACAAAGTTGGCAAGTGGTAAAAATAGGGCAATCTACTGGCATACCCTTACCGGAGGTAATAGTAGTGGTGATTTGATGACAGTTCTTGAAATAGGTGGAAAGTGATAGGGGTAGGGTTTGGGGTAAGGCCATGTGCTCAGTGATAGGAAAGGATATGTTCAAGATGAAGATGAGGATGAAAGTTTCCAAAGAGTGCAAAGCCATTTGGCTAACATAGCTCCTCTCAGCCATGGCCTGTATTGATCCAGTTTGAAGCAGGGAGGAACAGCAGCAGCAGCAGGAGTTGTAGGTTGAAAAGGGTCCCAGGGGAAGATGAAGATTCATGGTAGAAGTTGCAAAGAGGCAAATTTAAACCAGTGTAAAGAAAAACTTCTTAACAATTAAAGCTATCCAGAAGTGGCACAGCCTGCATCAGGAGATAGTGGGCTCCCTCCTGCCTGGGATACTCAATCAAAAGCTGGATGATGGACCGTCAGAATGTTGTCAAGAGGATCTTGTTGATTGGTGGTTTGATGAGCTCAGACCTTTTAGGATTCTATGATTTGGGGAAAGATACCTTTGGGTCAGATTGTTGAAGACCTTGAATTCCGTTCCAGAGAGTTTTGCCTCATAGAGTGATTAATCTTGTGGCAAATCTACTGGATAGATTAGAATCCCACTGGTTTTGCTAGAAGATGTATCTCGTAACAGGATTATTATGTAAGCACTCGAGGTTCAACATTCACATGTTTAACAAAATTCTTGTTCAGTTCTTCACACACGGAACTTTTTATTCTTAAATATCTATGGTGTCCCTTTCCTTCTTCCACCCACCTCCAAGTTAGATGTAAAAGGAGTTTGTTTCCGCCTACATCACTACCTCTCTTCACTCATGTTATGTAGGTCGATTTTGCACTGTCTCCCTCTTCCTTGTGTTCTGAAGTTGTAATCTCCCAGGGGGCAGAAATCGTTCCTTGTTTACATACCTCCTACCCATTGCAAAGCTCAGTGTGTGCTGACAGCTCCTAATAAATTATGAATGTGGATGGACTGCTCAGGATGGGGTAATCTCAGCATTGCCTCCATCCTCTTTACAAGCTCAGCATCAGCCACTGGGGGGGCTGAGGGTATGGTATGTGCTCACGCCCACTCATTATCCAGTGGGGTTGGCCTATAAATTAGCTTCCTCTTCATTCCCCTAACAACCCTGATTCCACTTGATTCAGTCGACTAGTCTTGGCACCAGAGGAGAGACTGCTGTTCTTTGGGCTAAAAGCCTTGTGTTCCCAGTGTAAAGAGAGCTGGCAAGAGACAAAAATCTCCTGAATGGACTGAAGCTGATAAACGTTTGTAAAGGGTACAGGTTCCAATAGCCCCCTGCTGTAGCAAATCTGTTAAGAGCAGCCTCCTCTCACCTGGGAGGAGTGGATTCCTGGTGTGTCTCCACAGAGTTGTATATCAGCATAACATGGCCCGGCTCAGCCTGTCACTGCTCTGAACATGCAAGAGCTGAGACTGCATTCTATCAGCTTCCCCATAGTCAATAGTAAGCCTCTGCTGTTTAATCAACAAAAGAACAAAGGCTTCATAGCCCTTAGGCATCTGCACTCCAGGAGCTTGTTTTAAGTTGGCACCTTTTAAACTCAAATCTTGAAGATGTGGCCCTAGATTCTGCTGAGGTTCAGAGAATACTTCAGCTAAAATCTGTTCATCAGATTAACTCTCTACCCTAGAGGAACCCAGTGGTGAAATTTCATCTATTCTCCCCTCCCCCCCACCCCCCCCCCAAACAAACCTAATACATTAAAATGACCAATTATGTTATTCCCCTGCTTAAAAAATAAAATCAGGGGGCAGCTAGGTGGTGCAGTGGATAGAGCACTGGCCGTGAAGTCAGGAGGACCTGAGTTCAAATCTGGCCTCAGACCAAACACTTGATACTTACTAGCTGTGTGACTCTGGGCAAGTCACTTAACCCCAATTTCCTAAAAAGAAAACAACAGCAACAACAATAAAATTGTCAGGGGCTTCCCATTGGCTCTCATATGAATGGATGGATGGATAGACAAATGGATGGATGGATGGATGGATGGATGGATGGATGATTGAAAAAAACATTTATTAAGCACTTACTATGCATTGAGAATACAAAAACAGAGGAAGATGACATAAAAGGTGAGGTGGCCAAGGAGGGGTACTCCTTTAAAGAAAGTCACAGGGATGCACCTCAGTATGGTGGCCCCAGAAATGGTAGTAGTGGCTTATGGTCATGTTAGCACCTGGAGGCACCTGTTAGTGGAAACCTATTTTGGCTCTATGGATGCTATTCACTGTTTATATTTGAGATATTGTACTCCTTGAAGATTTTACCTCATGCCTCATGTGGTAAAAGATTGGGGGGGGGGGAAGAAGGTAGTTTGGCCTTTCCTTTCTTTGTCTTTTCATGTAGACCAGATATTTAAAAGGGTAGATGATGGATAGAAGTATAATGTGCAACCTGTGATATGCTATTTTTTTAACTTGGATGGGAAAACTAGAATCATGGAATCACCAAGCCAGTGGCAGTGGTGGCATTCTCTTGCCCTTTCCCTCCATTTCAGTACCCATTGTTTTTCCTTTCAAATATTTGATTGCGTTAGCTCTTTCCTTATGAAAGACTTCTCCTTATTTAAATAAAAAGATAAAAATAAAGACTATTTGCTTTCTCAAAAAAAAAAGTTTCAGGGATTGTTAGTGTAGCCTTAGGGGAATAGAGTGACACACCCTGTCCAGGAACAATAGCAGTATTGATTTGACTAGTATTCTAGAACTGGAAAGGAGAAAATACAGACTCCTTGGTTGGGCAGTTATCTTTCAAAGTTTATTATACATTATTCCCCTTCATATTTTCTCCATTCCAGCCATACAGGTCTACTCTGACATTCCCTGAATTTGCCTCTCCATCTTTCACATCCTTGCCTTGCCTGGGCTATCTCCCATGGCTCCTCACCCTTCCAGAATCGTTTTGAGGGTAGGGACTGTCTTTTGCCTCTTTCTGTATCTCTAGTACTTAGCACAGAATGTTGGATTGATTTTAGAAAGCCTAGCTTTTTTCAAGGCACAACTGGTGTGCCACCTCCTCATGGAAGCCTTTCCTGAACCCTATATTTGTTAGTGCTTGCTTTTTCCTCCTGAAATTATCATGTATTTATCTGTTTACATGTTCTGTCTCCCCAGTAGAATATACATTCCTTGAGGCAGGAACTGGTTTTCATTTTGTCTTTATATCCCCAGTGCTTAGCCCAGAATAAATATTCGTTGGATTGCCAACTTTTGAGAAGAGTTAGAGGAGGAAATGTGATGTTGGAAACTATCCAAGTCAGGACGCTTGAATTGATTATCCCAGTGAGTGACTTATTAATGCACATATAACGTTGTTAAGTTACCAGTAGCTACCAGTATCTGTTTCTTTGTTTTCCCTAAAGCTGTTTTAGATGGAACCAAGGCTCAGGGAAGGAAAGGAAGGATGGGCTTTTGGGACGAAGAGAGAATGTTGGCTTCAAGTTCCAAGCAACAGATTTTAAAAAGAAGTCTTTGGAACACAACCCGAATGGGTTTCCCATCATTGAAAGTTTTTAAGCAGAGACTAGATGACTACATATTCATTAGGGTCAGTTTTCAGTGGAAAGAGTGCTGTGTCTAAAGTCAGATGATCTGGGTTCAAATCCTGGCTCTGCCTTGTGATACCTCTGTGATCTTGAGCAAATTACTTTCTCTGGGCCTCAGTTTCTTCAATTGTAAAATGAAAAGGTTGGAGTAAATTATCTCTAGTTTATGTATATATATATATATATATATATATATATATATAAATATATATATTTATATATAATATATATTATATGTATTTATATACAGACATACTATATATTTATATATAAGTATATATTTATATACATATAATATATATTTATATATAAATATATTATACATATTATATATAAATATATATTATATATATTTATATACATATAAAATAAATAATCTCTAATCTATCATAGGAACTCTAAACCCTATGATCATCTGAGGAGAAAAGGATTCTGATTCAGTCACAGGTTGAACTAAATGATTTCTAAGGTTCCTTCTATTTCCAAGATTCTGTCACTATGAGTCAGTCTTTGGTTTAAATTCAATTCAAAGAACATTTATTAAGTACTATACTGCAAGGCACCAACTACACAAAGACAAAAACATGGTGGTCCTACCTTTAAGGAGTTTGCATTATTTGCACAACATAAACAGATATGTAAATGTAAGATAATTTGTCATTTCTTCTTCCTTCTTCCTTTTTTGAAGTGACATCACAGGTGATGTCTTGACTCATGAGTGAATTGGATATAAGTGAAGCAAAGCTGCAAAAAGTCATCAGCCTCCCTCTCTCTTCCAGATCATTGAAGTCCAATGGCAAGACAAAAGTCATGATGACTGGTGATGGCCTGAGATGCAGTGAATGCCCTTGGAGTCTTCCATGTCTGATCAAGATCTAAGCTCTCCACAGCCACCTTCCTGGTCTTTGGAACAAATTGTTCTCATCTGCCCATTCCTCTAAGGCAAAGTCTTCTCACGCTTAGGGTAGGCATCACCCTAACTCACCAGTGTGTTTGAGGCTTTGTTGGGTACTAATTTAATTTAGCCCATCTGCTAAGAGGGTTTAACTGGGATGTGGCCACTGCACATGCTACAGCTTCTTGGAGATGCAGGTGAGAGTTAGGTGACAGGTGGATGCCAAAGGTGAATGAGCAGCCCTGAATAGGGCTCAGCAAGCCCTCATACCACAGGTGCTAGTCCTCCTGAATACCCCCATAGGGAGGATCTGAATGATCAAGGGGATCAGGAAAGGCTTGTTGTAGGGGGTGACACACGTGCTAAGTCTTGAAAGAATGCTAAGCATGGTGTGAGCAGATCACTTCCCTGGTCAAGAAGCTTCACTTGTTCACTATTGCTTCCAAGATAAAATAGACATTTGGACATTTAAAGCCCTTTGCTATCTGGCTCTAACCTACCCTTCCAGACTTATTTCAGATTATTCCCCCTAATGCTCTGTATTTTCAAGCCAAACTGATCTGCTTGTTCTGTATGCAGCAAGTATGCTCTGGACTCACCATCCCCAAATCAGGCTGGCTACATCTCACTCTCAGGTGCTACTACAAGGCCTGAGGGATTGGGACAGGGGTGGGGTGTCTCTCCTCAAACACTGATTGCACAAGGCCTCATTTCCAGTGTTCCTCCTACTTAACAGTAGGCTAACTAAGGCTAAGGCCTTAGTGACTTGGTATCCTAGGGCTATTTAGTTAATTAGCATCAATTAGCTTTTACAATGTGATATTTACTGTGAAGGTATAGCAAAAATAGAAGTGCAAACATTCCCCACCTACCCATCCAGTTTCTTAGGAGAACACTTTACATAACCTTGGTCCCTGAGGAGAATGGCAGAGCTATCACGTAGCATTGGTCTCACCAACCAATTTCACTTACAAAATGAGACATTACTTCCTGATGAGTCTTTATCTCAGTTTACCTGGGCTGAGTCCCAAAGGTCACTCCACACTTCAGCTTCAGATGAGGAGAAGGTCTGAGGTCTGTCCCCCAAAGCATTGTCTCTCATCCCATGCTGTCAGCCCAGAAGAAGCTAGCTAAAGAGGACAAAGCAATAGGGAAAGGCCTTTGCAATACCCACTGAGCTCAAACTCTGGAGCCATACCCACACCCAATCCAGAGGCTGTTTGACATATGGTCAGCTAACAGAAGGTCAACACATGCCCTCCAGAGCAATTCCATTAAATGCCCACATTCCTCTCCTGGAAGCAGGCTCCCCAACCTCTTCTACGTGAAGAATGACAATAGCACCAATCTTCTGTATGTTTGTCAAGCCCAGGCTACACCTGTATGAGATGTCCCATCTTCTGCCTTCATTCTTCCTCCCGCCAGACTTCCAGACTGACTCCATTCCATGTGCCGTCTGTTTGGACCACCACCTACCTCTTCTTCCTCCTCCCCACCAGAGTAACCTGGATTCCACCCCTGGATTCCTCAGCTCCAGTAGGTGAGATTTTTTTCTTATCTTGATAGGGACTTAGACCTCCCCACCACTTCAAGCCTGTTTTTTGCCACGCCATCATCTCTCCTTCCTCCTCATAGCTCCCCTCTAAATGTTGTCTTCTTGCATTATATTGTAAGCTTTCTGAGGTCAGGAACCACCCAGCTTGTTAATGCTTAGCACAGTACCTAGCTCTTAACAAACGATCTATGTACCTTTGTACCTAAGTATGTATCAATCTATATGTCTGTCTGTCTGTCTATCTATCTATCTATCTATCTATCTATCTATCTATCTATCTATCTATCTATCTATGCACAGGCTGTCCCCCATGCTTGAAATGCACTGTCTCCTTAACCTCCCACTCTTAGAATTGAAGGAAGCTAGGTAGCACAGTGATGAGAGCACTGGACCTGAAGTCAGGAAGACCTGAGTTCAAATCTGACCTCAGATATATAGTAGCTGTGGGACCCTGGGCAAGTCACTTAACCTCTGTCTGCCTCAATTTCTTCAACTGAACACTGGGGATAGCACCTCCTTTGTGTGAGGATCAAACTGGATAATATTTGTAAAGCACAGTGCCTGGCACCTAGTAGGCACTTAATAATGCTTGTTTCCTTTCTAAGAATCCCTACCTCCTTTTAGGGCTTAGTTCAAATACCACCTTGAACACTAAGCCTTCTGTGATACCTCCCAGTTGTTAGTGACTATCCCTACCAATCCAACCCCCCACAAACACACCAAAAATAAAATTGTGTTTCCTTTTTGCATATATGTTTTGCTTCCTCTTGTTGAAAGCAAGTTCCATGAGCACAATGTCTTGCTCATAATGAAGATTAATAAATGCTTTTTGCAGAAGAGACTAAGCAGAAGGAGGCTAAGCTCTCCATGAAAGTCAATCCAATGAACATTCTTTGTTGTGGGTTTGTTTTTAAAAGGTCGGTTGTGGGTGTGGTTCCAGACTTGGTGAGTGTGGTTTCATTAAGGGAATTCTCTGGCTAGAAAGCTCCCTCTACTCACTCAGATGGGCAACTCCTTTATAATTTATCATATTTTCAGAAAGTTAACTAGAGTTTATCATGGTAGATGGTGTGAAGTATTAGCCTAAATCTAATTTCTGCCAGACTGCTTTCCAGTTTTCCCAGCAGTTTTTGTCAAGTGGTAATGGAATACTAGGGGCAGCTAAATGGCGCAGTAGATAGAGTGCCAGCCCCAAAGTCAGGATAACCTGAGTTCAAATTCTGCCTCAGACATTGTGTGACCCTAGGCAAGTCACTTAACCCTGTTTGCTTCAGTTCTTCATCTGTAAAATGAGTTGGAGAAGGAAATGGCAAACCACTCCAGTGTCTTTGCTAAGAAAACGCCCAAAATGGGCCACAAAAAGCCGTACAGGACTGAAACGGTTGAAAAACAGCAGCAACATCCTTCACCATGAGTCCTTTGGCATCATGATTTGGTCATCGTGTTAATCAGCGTCCTTAAGTCAAAGTTGTTTGTCCTGACCATGCTGTTGACTTGCCCAGGGTCACACAGCTAGTAAGTGTCTGAGGTCAAATTTGAACTCGGGTCTTCCTTATTCCAGATCCAGTGCTGTATCTACTGTGCCACCTACCTAACCCATGAATTCTGCTACCCATCTCCTAACAGAGAAGTGATGGACTCAGGGCCCGGCATGAAACAGACATTTCTGGACATGGCCAATGTAGGAATTTGCTTTGCTTGAGTGTGCGCATTTGTTACAAGAGTTTCATTTTTGTTTTGTTTTGTTTTGTTTTTTTCAGTAGGGCAGAGGAGATAGAAGAAAGCAATCACTTATTAAGTAAAAAAATTAATAAAAAGAAAAAGACAATTGTCCAGGGCAATGAGCGTTTAAGTGATTTATTTGCCTGAGATCACACAATTATTATGTATCATAGGTGGGGTTTGAATCCATATCATCCTCAGTCCAAGGCTCTATTAACTGTTGTCTGGATGTCTTATTCAGCCCCTTCTTTATTTTACTGTTTGCTCAGCAGAGATATATTCTGGTAATGGGTACACAGAATTCTTTTGAGAGAAAAAAAAATTGCTTGTTTTTGAATGTATGGTCTCCTGTCCATATCTCATCGTCACATTTCTGCCTCACATCCGTTAGGGACACTGGGGAGCCTGGGGAATTGTTTACTTTCAAATGGAATGTCCGAATCATATTGAGAGGAAATGATCTAAGAGACTGGATTCCCAAACAGGCAGTTGGACCAGATTATTAAGATTCTTCTCAACCACAGGTTTGAAGGATTCAAGAAATACCATGGGCACTTTCAGAGTGACTTTTTTTTTCCATTTTTAATCCAAATCACCTGTGAGGGAATGCTGAAACACTTTTTAAACAGGTTCCCCAATACTTTCTTTGGGGTGAGTCCAAAGGCAAAATGATAGAGATGACTCCAGTACCCCTTCACCCCCTTTCCTGATTTCCTTCTTTCTTTTGGCAACTTTCTTCACCCCCATTCCATGTGCTTGTCTTACCTCTACACTGCCCAAGTCTCTCTTCCATCATGCTCTGGACTTCGGTCTTTTTCCATCATCAGTATTTTCCTTTCTTCTTTCTCCCACTCCCTCAACACCTTGCTATGGGTGTGTGTCCCTAGGCCCTTCCCCCTGCCCCCCAGTAAATCATCCTTCCCCTTTGCTTTCCTTTTGTTCCTCTCCTATAAAATCCTGGGCTGTTCAGATGCCATCTGAGCCTGGCAGCAGAAAGATCTATTATTGGAGGTACCCTTCTGCTTTCCCTTCCCTGACCCCTGGCCACTCAGGTCCCAAGTGGGTCTACCAGGTAATAATAATAACAGCAATACTGTGTCATGCCCTTTACAACTATTATCTCATTCAATCCTCACAACAATCCTGGAAGATAGGTGCTATTATTATCCCCATTTTACCATTGGGGAAACTGAGGCACAGGGGTTAAGTGACTCACCCAGAGTCACATAGTTAGTCAGTGTCTGAGGCTGCATTTGAACTCAGGTCTTCCTAATTCCAGGCTCAGCACTATCTACTGCACTACCTATTTGCCTAAGATAAGAAGAAGGTAGACAGGGATCCCTTCCCCTTTACCTTCTCTTTGGCTCTCCCTCAGTACAGGCACCCAAGACTCCATTGTGGGAGTTGGGGGGCGGGGTATGGGGAGAGCAACATGGCTATCCATACCACATGGATGAATAGCCTTCTGGTGGATTGGTGGACCACCAGGTCTTGCTATCTGGCTATCCCTGCAACCTAAAGTCCCCCAGGTCTTGGGGAGGGACAGAAAGAAGAGGGAATGAGGGAATTGTAAAGGGCCTGACACAGTATTGCTGTTATTATTATTACATGGTAAAAGGAATAAACACTTTTTAAGCACCTACCATGTACCAGGCCCTGTGCTAAGTGCTTTTTAAATATCATCTCATTTGATCCTCACAACAGCCCTGGGAGATAGGTGCTATTATTATCCCCATTTTCCAGTTGAAGAAAGTAGACACAGGCTAAGTGACTCTCCCACAGTCACATAGATACTAAGGGTCTGAGGCCGGTTTTTAATTCAGGTCTTCCTAACCCAGTGCTCTATCCATTGCACCACAGGCATCTGCCCTGTCATCAGCGCCCTCCCCACCCCCTGACTCCTGGCCATTGTCATTCATTTGTTGGTATACCTTAAAGAGCCATGAGCTTCGCTATCTGGCCTACACACTGCACCTTGAGATTTCTGGGCTTTTCCATCAGCTTTGCCACGGAGCTCTTATATACATATTGTCTCAACCAATTAGAGTGGGAGTGAGTGCCTCTTCTAAGTCCCCTCCAGCCCTAATAAAAGGTCGCCTTTACATAACTCTTTAAGGTCATGGCATTATAAGATAGATTTGGGGCTGGAAGTGACCTTAGAGATAATGTAGCCCAGCCTCCTGAGGTTTGCCAAGCTCTTTCCTCACACAGCCCTGAGAGGTGGGGGGTGCAAACAACATTCTCATTTCGAAGAAACTGAGACTTCAAAAGTAAAGGGACCTCATTGTGCAGAAGTAAGGGCATGGAATTTTCGGTATTAGTAGGGGTTACTCAGCCACATTTTCTGTTTCCTTCTTGATTCTCAGCCAGGTTTTGGGTAGGTGAAGTTGCCAGGTATCTGAATTCCAGAAGCATGAGGTCATTACTGTAAGTTCTATTGTTAAACTGTCCAAACTCTTTATTGTAGTGAGAGCAGAGGGGCATAAGTGTGGTGCAGAGAGCTGGTTCGATAAGAGATGAAGAAAGTTAGAGAGCTGGAGGGAACATTCCAAAGACAGATATGGAGCAGCTGTTCAGTGGAGCTGACCAGTGAAGTGCAAAAGGACCCGAGCGGATCTAGGGCCCCCCAAACATCCTTCTACACCCAAGTGAAGATTAAAGAGCAATGTTAACCTGGAATACAAAACACAATCCAGATGGAGCTTAGAGCTAGATAACTATCTCTCTGCTCTTCTATACCCACTGCAAAGGAAGGGTCCATCCCATAGAAACTCATTGTTGTTATTATTCAGTCATGTCCAACTCTTCCTGACCCCATTTGAGATTTTCATGGCAAAGATACTGGAGTGGTTTGTCATTTCCTTCTCCAGCTCGTTTTATAGATGAAGAATTGAGGCAAACAAGGTTAAGTGACTTACCCAGGGCCACACAGCTAGTAAGTGTCTGATGAGTCTTCCTGACCCCAGGCCCAACACTCTTATCCACTCTGCCATATGCACTATTCTGCCAAGCCCAGGCTCAATCAATCTGTCATTACTAAGTGATCATAACTGATTTCAGTTCTTTGCCCAATCTGTCGCCACAATCCATAGGCAGACAACATTATTGGGAGAAACCGAGAGAAAGATACACAAAATAAAAACACATGCACATGGATTTGCAAATAGACACATTCATATAAATATTCACAGAGATAGGTAAAGATAGAATATGTCTATAGAGAGAAAAGAAACAGAAATACACACATGCAGTGATGTAAAGAGCATGTAAAGAAACTTTCAATCAGCAATATATCTATATTGTGGCTTTTTAGGACATTGTAGCCAAAGACTACTTTTTTTCCACTTTAGGCATAAATTTGACTTTAGACATATTTAGATGATTCACTAGACCAGCAAGCCCCATAGTTATATATTTCAGCGGACTAATGAGCCCAGTACCAGTGAGGTATGCCTTCTGAGGGCAAAGATTGCCATCCATCCATGCTTTCTCATCGCGTCTGTCCCATAGGTTGAATAAAACCCAGTCAAAGGCTGGATCTGGCCCATAGGTTGGAAGCTCCCCAACCTGTAGTCATGGCTGATGGATTTCTGACAATCTATGACTCCTAGATCAAGAGTAAATAATGTGGTAATTTTTGTTGCCAAATTCAGTTGAGGAGATATTTGGGGGGCAGAGTTGGTTTTTTTGGGTATACCTCAAATCACATCACATAGTGGGCTGTATTCGGTCCTTGGGTAAGGTCACCCTTGATCTTGACCTTTTCAATCCCTTTTAATTGGTCTAATCCTCCTGGTTCTGCCCTCTGAGACCAAAGAGTGCTTATCAATCAAACTGCTGACTCATATTGAGCTTGCAGTCAATTAAAACCCACAGATATTTTTCAGACAAATTGTTGTCTAACCAGATGTCTCTATTTTGCAGATGACAAAACCAAAATTAGGTGGCTTAACTGTGGTCATATAGCTAATAAGGCTAATAAGTGTTAAGGGTAGGGCTCAGGCCTTAATCTTAGTGTTTGGATAAAACACTAGGCCTGGAATTAGGAAGACCTGAGTTCAAATTCAGCCCCAGACACTTACTAGTTGTATGACCCAAAGCAAGTCACTTTGTCTCAGTTTTCTCAACTACAAAATAGTGATAATAATAGCACTTACCTTGCAGGGTTGTTGAGACAGTCTTTGTAAATAGCCCTTAGCATGGTAACTGGTATATAGTAGGTGCTTAATAAATACTTATTCTTTTCACTAATCATTTTAAGTTCAAATTCATCAATTTATCACATTATGCTTACTCTTTGAAGGTAACAGTTTGTCAACTTTATTGTAACAGGACTGCCATCTGGGTCAATGAGTAAGGGCCCAGGACACTGGTTGTCAATCATGTCAGCCCTTCTACGTTCCATACTGGGCTCTTTATCTAGGCATGTTCCTAGCCCCCCATCTACTTCCATCTACTAACTCTGCCTCCGTCTACTAATTATGCCCCTCTCTTCTCAGACACATCGTGTTATTTCAGTCACTTACCCCTCTTCCTTTTCCTCCCCCCCAACGTCAAAGTTGAGCCAGTGCTTAATTAGATTAGATATTAATATTAGACACTCATCATAAAGCATATTTTGATACACCTTTCCATTTTCAACTTTCCAAGGTGAACTCTCCACCCTCTTTGTCATCCTTCAGCCTCCCAACTACAGCCCCCAAGATTCCAGAGAGATAACCAAGAAGTATAGTGTCTTACCTCCCTCCTCCTGCCATGGAAGCCATGAAGGGAAAGAGCATAGTCATTTCAGCCCTGGGCAAATATTGGGCAAGATGAAGACCATCCCTCCCACCAGGGTCATTGCTGCTGCCACAGATGCTGGAAAATGAGGGAGTTGCTGCCAGCCCTAGCTCTATGGGGCAGCAGTCTGGCTCAGCAGGGAAGCTCAGAAGCAGTGTCTTGCCTGCTCTGGCTGGATCAGGCACCAATCTCACTCAGATTGCTAGAGCACAGCAAAGAGAAGGAGAAACCCCTCAACAAGTCCACCTGGGTGAGGGGAAACAGCAGGAGATATTACAATTTTCTGCAGTTTTGCAGATTGCCATTTCTTTTTTCCTCCTTTAGCTTCCAAAATTTTCACTCTTGAGTCAGTCATTCCCATTCAAGCCCTGTGATTCCTGGGAGAAAAAAACAAAGATAAAGCTGTGTCAGGATGTCAGAGTGCTGGCAATGGGCAAAGATTCATGTCCCTCTTATATCAGAATGCTATAGAAATGTCAGTTATTATTGTTGCTGTTTTTGTTATCTTTAAGTGGTAGCAGGAAAAAAAAATGGAAATAATTTCTTTTTCTAAGAGTTTTCCACCTTCCCTCCTTTCTTGCTTCCTCCTCCTTCCTCCCTCCCTCTCTTCCTCACTCCTTTTCTCCCTTCCTCTCTTCTTCCTTCCCTCCCCTTCTCCTTCCCTTTTCCCCTTTTCTTGTCTTCCTTACTTTCCTCCATCCCCTTCTTCTTTCTCCCTTCTTTACTTCATTCCCCCTTCCTTCCTTCCTTCACTTCCTCCCCCTCTTCCTCCCTCTCTCCCTTTCTTTACCTTCACTCCTTCCTTCTCTTCTTCCTTTCTTCCTTCCTTCCCTCCCTCCATCTTTCCCTCCTTTCCTTCCTTCCTTACTTCCTTGCTTCTTTTCTTCCTCCTCCTTTCTTCCCTCCTTTCCCCCTTTTCTTCCCTTCCTTAATTTCCTCCATCCCTTTCTTCCTTTCTCCTTTCTTCACTTCCTTCCTTCCTTCCTTCCTTCCTTCCTTCCTTCCTTCCTTCCTTCCTTCCTTCCTTCCTTCCTTCCTTCCTTCTTTCCTTCCTTCCTTCCTTCCATCTTCTTCCTTCCATGCCTTTTAAAACAGTTGCTGTTTCCAGGGCACTAGATCATTGGTTCTCAAACTTCATTGGGTCATGGTGCAGTATTCCTTGCCGTGAGACAAAGAAAAGTTCCCAGGCAGTCAGTTCTCCAGACGCAGGAGGATTTTTTTCTCTTCTTCTCCTCCTCCCTCCCACCCCATTCTTTCTTGACTTCCCCAGGACTGGAGGAGGAGGAGGCAGCTTTGTACCTCCATGGATAGAGCTGTTTTTAGGATGTTCCCATTGCCAAGCCAAGCAGAGCAAGCAGCAAACTGTAACTGGGAGCAGGCTGTTATCGAAGCCTAGAGTGAAAGAGACATTTAGAGGCACATGTACAGAAATCTTCAGCATGGCCCACCCTTTGAGAACTGTTGTTCTAGATGTTATTATGGATAAAAAAAAGAAAAGGAGGCCCAGTTCCTGCCTTCAAGGAAAGTATATACTGATCAGGGAACTAGAAGAATAGGAAGCAATAAATTACTTATGATACAAAATGCAGGAAGTCCAGGCAAGATGTAAGTTCTATACACAATTGCTTGGAGAATGACCATGATAGTAGGGTGGGCTTCTTAAAGGAAGCTTGTTTTGAAAATCACAGTCGTAGAATCTCAGTGTTGGATGGGAACTCAGAGGTCTAGTCTAACCCTCACCTGACCCAAAATCCCCTCTTCCACAACTCTGACAAGGGATCTTCTTTCTTTTCAAAGAGCTCCAGTGATGGGAGAAACTCACCCTCGTCAGACAGCCCATCCCAGAAACAGGCCCTGGAACAACAGTCATCCCAGCCATGCTAAAAATGGCACTGTTTACAGATCATCAGCCATCATTTCTCCTGACTGACTGAGGGCTGGGAGCCAGAAGCACAACCCAACTCATCCTTCTTCATTTTCCCAACTCAGCAGGGATTTCTGATCCAAGAGCAGTCGACTGTTGGAGGGGTTGCCTCTGTAGAGACCCGAGGCCAGGGTCCCCTGCGTAGAGCATGGCACAGCTCAGCATCACTTGCTGTTCCCACAGGCTTATTACAGCAAACCCCCAGAGAAGAAGGATGCCTCTTGTATGTCACACTCCTTTCTGGTGCTTATGACAGTAATCAACAATCTGCCATGCGGAGCTGGCCTGTGGGATCCAATGAATGGAGTTGAATGCAAGGCAAATGCCAGGATCATTTTCATACCTGGTCAGCAGTGCACATCCTTGTGAGTCAGTAAATAGAGGCATAAGTTAGGATGCTGAGGGGGTGGGACATAGCCCATTAGGTCACATTTCTGGTTAAAAAAGGAAAAAAACCCCGCCTTCTCTCCCACTGCACATTCAAATCAGAAACATATTTTGCTGCCTCCTAGTTTTGGCAGCCCAGTAAATTAATTTAAACCTGTCGTCAGAGCAGTCGGCCTGTTATTTATAACTAGGAGGCTTTGTGAAAATCGCTCAAGCACTTTAAAGACCTAAAGGCAGTCGTTGCAAAATTAGCACCGGGCTTGATTTTCAGCATTTCTGTGCCTGAGAAATCTTTATATTGCTGCTGCATCCGCCTAATGGCCTCTGCTTATTGAAGAATCCCTAAGTTTGGAAGAGGCTATAAAAATAAACAGCAATTTGTAAGTCAATTCATGCCTGTTACAAAAGTAAATCTCTAGCTAGGAGGCACCTATGTCGTTCCATGGCTTTAGACAAGAAGTTGAGTTTTCAGAATTTTTTTTGAAAGTCTTGGTAATCTTTGCCAATGGACCAGGCAGTTTTGTGTGATGTCTAAGTCTGGTGGTGAGAAAAAAAAAAAGAGTGGGGCGCTTTTGTAAAATGGGAAGATTTAGAGCTAGAAGAGACCTCAGAATTTATCCAGTCCAATCCCTTTCACTTTGCAGATGAAGAAACCAGGCCCAGAGAGGTCAATGACTTGCCCAAGGTCAAACAGGTAGTATCAGAGCCAGCACTTGAACTTGCATTCTCTGACTCTGAGCACTTATTCCAGTTGATACTAGTCCCTGCGTTGGGGTATCACTAGTCATGTCATGCTCTCCCTCAGAGGAGGGAGAATGGTCTACTTCTTAGAGAATGGTTAAGTGGAAAATTGGGGATGGAGCACCAAAGGTTAGTCATTAAAAAAAAAAGCTTCTCTAATAGCTGGTACTTACGTGGAAGCGATTTGCAAATAGCATCTCATTTGAGTCTCACCACAACCCTGAGAGGAAGGTACCGTCATTGTCTATGTTTTACAGATGAGGAAACTGAGGCAAATAGAGGTTAAATGACTTGCCCAGCTAGCAAAGGGCTAAGATAAGATTTGGACTTAGGGCTTCCTCCCTCCAGATCCAGTGCTCTATCCATTGCTCCACCCAGCTGCCTTTAGCAGCTTAAGAACGGTATTTAGTAGTATTTAGTATTTAGTAGATAAGTATTTAGAACTGGAAAGGACCTTAGAGACCCTTAGCAAATGAGGAAATGGAGGCTCACAGAGGTACAGCAAACCACCTCAAGATTACAACTGTGAATGAAATTTACTCAAAGTCAAGCTAGACCATTTCCAAAGGGAAAGGAAGCCAGAGAAGGACGCCATTCTCTTTTTGGGTCAGAGAAGTATACTTGGGAGAATCATGATGGGCCAATTGGTCACAGGAAATTTCAGCTGAGTAGGATAGTTTAAGAAACTTGGGAACCTTCCAGTCTGCACTAGGTAGAATTCTTTCTGCATTTTTGACCCTTATTATCAATATTCCTATTAGTATTCTTTCCCCCTTGTAAATATATAACTTAAGAAGATCCTAAGTGTGGCCTGAAATATTCCATTGATGGAGGGAGGGTTTGAGCACCAGAGCCAGGGCACCCTGCTCTGGAGACAGCAAGTCTTTGGGAGGCTTTAGATCAGATTATAGCTAGAGCAGAATGCTGAGCTTTGGTTGTTGAATCCCATACTCAGAAATTATCCAGCAAATGTCACTTAAAATGAAGTAAGTAGGAAGCCTTGGATCAAGGACAAAGATTGCCCAAGGGATTCCAAAGAATCTGAGTTCTTCAGCTCACCTTACAGCCTAGGGGGGAAATTCTGGTGAATCAGAGAAAGCTTGATGGTAATGAGGTAAAGGTTATTGGTTTCATCCCTTCAGGGTAATGGTTGGGTTACAATGAGGTATAGATGGTTTCTTTGGCCAAAGTCAAGGAAATAAATAAAAGTATAACAGTTTGTTGACCCATATCATTAATGGCCAAATACTTAAGGATGAATCATGAGCCCTGGAGATGAATTGATAGGCCTAGATAGACTTTTTTGGTTAATAATAATAATAATAGTTAACATCCATATAGTGCCAGTAATGCATTAGGCATTGTGCTGAGTGCTTTACAAGTATTATCTCATTTGATCCTCACAACAACCCTAGAAGGTAGGCACTATTATTGTCCTCATTTTGCAGTTGAGGAAACTGAGGTTAAGTGACTTATCCAGGGTCACTCAGCTAGTGAGTATCTGAGGTTGGATTTGAACTTGGGTCTTTCTGATTCATGCCACTCTATCCACTATCTAAAGCACAGAACCCCAGTGGGTTGCCCCACTTGAATCTCCTCTCCTTAGCCAAGTGCCTTTGCTTTGAAATAATTATACCCCCTGAATAAAAGTGATCACATCAGTAGGGGCACTTGAATTATAGTTTTGATTGAATGTGGATTTACAGAGTACCTTGAACTTGGAGTAGGTGTTCTGGGGACCCACGTGTGAGGGTGAGTTGCTCCAGGTGCTATATACTATATATCATAGTTATATTCTTCTCTGACACTCCCCCGCCATGTGTCAAAGAAAAAAGGTAAGAAAAGCAACTAGCATTTGACAGCATGGGCACCACTGTGAGTCCCAAAGCCCACCACACTTCTGCTGAGAATAGAGGGGCAGATTTCCATAACATTCTTCTGGATTGTTTGATCATTGTATTTCATTTGAATTACAAAAATATTTTAGGTTTGGACTGTCTTTGTGAGATGCGGTTTTGTATAACAGGTAGAAGGGAAAGGGAAGGGAATAGGCATTTACACAGCACCTACTGTGTGCCAGGTATTTTGCAAATAATATCTCACCTGATCCTCACAACAACTCTAGGAGGTAGCTATTATAGTCCCCATTTTACATATTTGAATTCAAACTTTCCTGACTCCAGGCCCAGCACTCCACCCATTGTGCTACTTGGACTGCTAGATGAAGTCAGAAACACCTGTGTTAGAATCCTGCCTCAGATATTTTTCTTCTTGCTGTGTTACCCTGGATAAGTCACTTAATCTTGCCATGCTCCAGTCAACTGTCCACAATGATACATTGCAGAGAAGGTGCCAACTTGCATGACTGGAGAGACTTTTTTCATCTGGGAGTTTCCTGTATATCGGTGACTTCACAGGTCCAATGCTGAACCCTACCTAACCTTTCATCCATGTACCTTAATTTGTTCAGCCATTCCAGTTGAAGGCCATCTACTTTATTTCCAGTTACTAAGAATATTTTGGCATAAAGAGAACCTTGCTTTCTGTCTTTGACTTCTCTGTGCTCTATATTCCAGTACCGGAATTGTTAGGCCAAAAAGTATGAGTGGTTTGATTACTCTTCTTGCATATTTCCAAATTATTTTTCTGAAGAGTTGGTCTAATCCATGGCTCCATAAGGGTTGTGTTAGTATGCCTGTCTTCCCAATAGCCCTCTGACATTGACTATTTCTGTCTTTTATCATCGTTACCAATTTGGTGTGTGTGAAGTGTCATCAGAGTTCACATATATATTGTAACAAAGACCTTTTGGAGATCTTGATTGATTTTGGGGGGTCTTCCTATTATACAAACTTATATAAGTTGAGGATAAAGGATCTTCAGTACTTTTAAATATCAATTATTTCTTCAGAGTCTGTTCTGTTTTGACCAATACAAATCATAACTACTCCACGCTCTCCACATTGTGGTAGGTTGTATCGGGGAGATTCAAGGTTTTGGGACCCTATAGTCCTTTGGAGCCTACAGTCTCATGATGCCACATACTCAAATGATTATAATATAGTATTATAACACACATGAGGGACACATACCCACGCATGCATACGTACTTATGTGTGTGCAGATCTGCACACAATGGTCACATGTGTGTAGATGTGTGTAGATGTGTGTAGTGTGTATGCATATACACAGTATAATACAGTATAATGTGGGAGAAAGAAATATAAACAAAGCACTATTATGAGGGCCAAATGGGGAAAAATGATCATTTTCTCACCAGGAAGATATCAGGAAGAACATCATACAGAAGATGGCCTTTTAGTTGGATTGGCTTTAAAGGATGGTTAGGAATTCAGCAACCCAAGAGGAGGGATTTGTACTTGGGTCTTCTTACTTAAAATCCAATGCCCAGAGCTATAATTAAAAATTTCTGCATCCAGGGCAAGTAATATTACTAACACCTGTGCTGAGCAGAATGAAATGGGGCAGGGAATAGGAAGTATAGTCTCTGGTAGATTGCTATTTTAATTAATTATTCCTGCCAAGTAGGTACTAAGCTCTATTGTTTCTAAACTTCTAAAGGACTGCAAGTGCCCCCCAAATTTAATGCCCTAGGACAAAAGCTTATTTGTCTCACCCTAGAGATAGCTTTTTCATTATACCAGGAGAATGTTTGCCCCATAAATTTCCTAAGGAGGCAGTTATCCCCAGCTATTTCTAGGGTCAATGCCATTGTCCTCTAACTCTCAGCTCATTCTTTTTTTTTTTTTTGGCTGCACACAGCTTTCTCAGAAGTGCATGTGTGAGGAGCACATTCTAGAGGGAAGGACTTTTGGATTCATTGCAACATCACCATAGAAATGCCAAGGGAAAAGAAACATGAGAAACAAGCCAAGAGCAATCTCAATTGTTCTTACGATTTTCTATGAGCAGATTCTCCTGGTATAATGAAAACACATTCAACAGGATGCAAAATTCCCCTGTTGAGGGATTTTCTTTTTACGTTCAAGAGCCAAGACATTAAATGACATCTTAAGAGAACCTTACATTTTCTAGCTTCTGAAATCTCGCAAGGATTTTGAGAATATTAAAAACATTTTTTAATAAGTCCATTACAAGTAAAATGATGAGAGTCCCCTGAAGTCCCCCAACTTGGGATAGAATAGCAAGCTTTCCATTGTTAACCCCACGGTTCCTCTCATATTCTACAGGCTGTGGGGATTCGGGAATGGAGTCTCTTGGTATATTAGAATGTTTTTACTCAGCTAATTTGATTTTTAAAATAACCTGGGTAACCTTGATAGAAGAAGGTATAATAAAACCCACTTGATAAGTGTCCGAGTGCTGAGAAGACCTTGGAATTCTAAATTGAGCAAGACTTTTCACTGTGGCGGGATCCCTTGCGCAACAGTGATGGATGAAGGCAAACTCTTTTGCCTATATGGTAAGTAGATGCTTGACTTTGCTGCAGAGAAAGGAGGTAGAGGAAAGGCTAGGTACAATCTCTGCCTCTACTTTCATAGATGTGTGTATGCATGTATTATGCATGTGCATATGTATGTATCATGCATATGCATACATATGTTTATGTATATAGACTCCCTACATACACATATACCTAAAGCAGTACATTTTTCTATTTATTTCT